AAGGTCTTTTCAACAAATGGTGCTGAAACAAGAGGATATACACGTGCAAAAGAATGCAGTTGGACCCTTTCCTCACAGCATATACAAAATTTAACTCAAAGAGAAGGTTGGTTACCAGGGTTTGGAGTATGGGAAAAATAGGGTCAAAGGGTACAATGGGAATATTGGTCAAAGTATACAAATGTGCAGTTCTAAGACGAGTAAGTTCTGGAGACCTCATATACAGCATGGTTACTGTAGTTAATAATAATGTACTGTATACTTGAGATTTGCTAAGAGTAGATCTTAATATTCTAACTACAAAAAAAAATAACAAACCTATGTGAGGTGATAGATATGTTAATTAGCTTGATTGTGGTAATCATTTCACAATGTATATGTATACCAAAACACCACATTGTACATCTTGACTATATACAATTTTTCTTTGCCAATTATACCTCAGTAAAGCTGGGGGAAAAATTAACTCAAAATGGATCAAAGACCTGAATATGAGAGATAAAACTATAAAACTCAGAAGAAAACACAGGGGTAATCATCATGACCTTGGATTTGGCAACAAATTCTCACACGGAACACCAAAAACATGAGCAACAAATAAAAATAGGTAATTTGGACTTCATAAAAATTAAACACTTTTGTGTTTTAAAGGACACTATCAAGAAAATGAACATGACTCAGAGAAAGTATTTGCAAATCATATATCTGATAAGGGACCAGTATCCAGAATATATAAAGAACTCTTACAACATAATAATATGGCAAATAATTCAAATAAAAATGTCCAAAGAATGTATTTTTCCAAAGATAAACAAATGGCCAAAAAACACATGAAAAGATGCTAAACATCATTAATCATTAGGGAAATACAAATCAAAACCACAATGTTATATAACTTCACACCCACTAGGATGGCTATAACAAAAAAGGCTGACATTAATAAGTGTTGACAAGAATGTGGAGAAACTAAAACCCTCATTCATACATTGCTGATGGAAAAGTTAAATGGTACAACCACTCTGCAATTTGGCAATTTCTAAAACGTTACACATAGAGTTACTGTATGACCCAACATTTCTACTCCTAGGTGTATATATGCTCAAGAGAAATGAACACATATGCCCACACATAAACTTGGGCATAACTATTATTCATCACAGCCAAAAAGTGAAAACCACCCAAACATTCACCAACTGACGAATGTATAAATAAAATGTGGTATATCCACACAATGGATATGATTTGGCAATAAAAAATAATGAAGTGCTGGTACATGCTACAACATAGATGAACCTTAACAACATTACGGTAAATAAAGGAAGTTAGACACAAAAGGCCACATGTTGTTTGATTCATTTTATATGAAATCTCTAGAACAGGCAAATCCACAGAGACCGAAAACAGATTAGGGATTGCCAGGGGCTGGGGATGAGGAAGAATAGCAAGTGTCTGCTAATGGATACACAGTTTCTTTTTGGGGTGATGAAAATATTCTAGAATTATACAGTGGTGATAATTGCACAAATTTGTAAATATACTAAAAACCACTTAATTGTATGCTTTAAAAGTGTAAGATTTATGGTGTGAATAGTATCTCAATTTAAAAAAAGAATGAGTACAGAAGAAAAAAACACCAATGTCTCAGCTTACTCCCAAATACACAAAATCTTCAGAAATCTCAACCTTGGTTAAACACTATCTCCTTTACAAAGGATTTCCCCAGGCAGACTCAGAGGCAAGTTTCTCAAAAATATATCTACTTTTTAGAGGATTACTCTGTTGAATTATACTTGCTTTCTTGTATTTTTGTCTTCTCCACTAGATTGTGAGTTCCTTGAGAATAGAGTAAGGTCTATTCATTTTTTTAATCCACAATACATAGCTGGAGTTAAAAAACTAATGGTTAAATGAATACCACAGAAAACCCAGCCCCACTCCAATGACTAAAGAGGACACCTGGTAACTAAAACTTGGTGTTTTGCCTGGTACAGTAAATAAACGCACTTTTTTCATAAATTTTGGTTCAATTCTTAGTCTATTTCTTTTATTTCAGATATGTTATCATGAAGGGGAAAAGTAGGCCAAAAAGAACTTATATAGAATATTTGTCACAACTATACTCCCTGTTGTCAATTCATTAATCTCAGTCACAGAAGTAGCTGGAAATGGAACTGCTAAATCTAATCTGAACCATTACATATACTTCTTAAAGAGTTCATTTTCACATGGGTAATGAAAACTTTCTTTTTCTGTTCCTTTACTATTAATAATCACCCATATTGATTAATCTAAATTAAGCCTCTATTGATGGCTTATTTCAAGCAGAAATGAAGATTCATGTTGTTTTATCATTATTTCATTATATCTGAAGTATCTAAAATGTCCTAACTCTTATTAATACCTTTTATCACCACAGCTTCATCAGTATAGAGGTAGTCCAAAATAACTTTTAATATGTCAGAATGTATTGGCATTTCCAGAGCTGCACAACTGGAAGCCTAAATAAAGTAAGATAAAATAAAGTGAAATAATTCATTTTAAACAATAAAATACTATTAAGTTCACAACCAAGAGTTTACACTTTGGAACATTATGATAAGCAATGAAACCCTCTTTTTGCTTCTGCTTGAGTAACAACTTCAGGTTGTCAGTAAAATGAAAAAAATCAAATTATTTTTAAAGTTTTTGATAT